GTCATGGTGTTTGGGAGACTCACCTGTCCCCTGGAGACAGAGGGCCACCCAGCAGAGGAGCCTGGTGCCCATGGCATTCAGGGCAGAATGGAACCTCACCAAAGCAGGGTCTCCTGAGCAGCAGCAGAGGAGGAGGGCTGTCCCTCGTCCAATTCGTCAGTTCTCACAATGACATCACTGCCTCACAGAGGCATGCAGTCTAGAGACCAGGAGGAGTGATCTCAAACAGAACAGGAGGCTGGTTAGCATCTTCATAGACTGCATCCATCCATCCAAGTGTCCTCGCTCACGGCCCCAGGGCTTGGGTCATGTGTCTCCCACTGCACCTCCAGCCCCTCCTCTAACTCTCTGCTGGACGTTTCTACTTGAATGTGCCAAAGGCAACTCAAATTTGAAGTGTCAGTTAGCTGCCCCCTTGTCTTACCTGTTATTAGCCTTCTCTCTGGGAGTTTTTCTTTTATCAGATTCTCCAGTGACAAGGTGGGGACTGGAGCAGCTTTGACAGCTTTATCCCAGCAGCGACGTGCTCCAAGCCGAAGTCAGATGATGCCCTGAGCATCGAGTTAGAAGGTTTACTGTGTCTGACGCCTGTTGTCCTCGTTTCACCACCTTAATTCTCATTAGGGACCAGAGTTTTCGTCAGGGCACTGCCTGCTCTTTTAGGTCACCAGTGAAGTAGATGTCAGGTCTGCTTTGTCACCTAGGGAGGGGGGAGAACCTTCCCATCTCTGACCTGATTGGTGTGGATATTGGAACCATCAATGCAATATTGAACAGACCTTCTGGAATCTTCAAACTGCCTGAGTGGTGGAGTGGAAAGTGTCGGGAAGTGGAGCCCCAAGAGTTGTTATGACATAACAAGACAAGGACCAGCAGGAACAGCACAGCTCTGTGACTAGGGATTCTGCCAACCTGCCCAAACGTGGGGGCACAGGACGGTGTGTCTGGTGAAGCTCAGTAAGTGCAGAGTTACCAGAACCACCTGTTTCCCTGGTGTGGTGTGAGGTCAATTTATGTTGATGACCATGATGTCCAGTGTGTTCCCATCACGGGCTCACGACTCATTCCAACCTCTGACGGAGAGATGAAATACACAGTGACAACCAAATGAAATACACAGTCTTTGATTTTATTGTGGAAGAAAGATAAGACCTATAAAGTTCACTTTGGGACAACTGGAGAAATTAAAATATGAAGTCTATTTTATGTAATATCTATATGAATGTAAAATATTACCATAATATTTTACATTCATATAAATATTGACATCTATAGTTATGTAAAAGAATGCTCTTTTCAGAAGCGTAAAATATATATTTAGAGATGAAGCAAATATTACAAAATGTTAACAATTTGTACACAGAGGTATGTGTTAATACTCTTCTATTCCTTTGACTTTTCCATTGTTTTGACAACAGCATTAGGTGGAGCTGAAGACAAGTCCCATCAGGCTACATGTGAAATACTTGAAATCAAGGTCTGCCAATTCCAGGGAAGAATTTTCCCATGTGTTTCCATGTGCTGCCTCCTGGGGAGCATGACTGAGGGAATCCATGACAGAATCCCTGTCTGTGCAGGAATAAGGCATCTTGCTGTTCAGAGAGAAATGAGGGCAGTTCTGGGAAGTCTGAATCTTATTTAAAATGCCAGAAATTTCAGGCATGCCTATCTGGCAACATCTAGAATCAGCTTCTTAGCACCACCCACACATCCCTTCCACCTTCCTGCACATTGTCCAAGGGGTATTAGGAAAGGGTACAGGTGCAGAGTTGTAGCCTCTCAGCCATTCCCTGAATTAGTCCTCCTTCTTTTGCATGGGTTTCTGAGGGTTGAGTCCCAGCTCCTGGCCCACCATCTGCCTACCACATGGGCTGAGAATATTCTCCACCTTGTGATTCACTACAGTTCATGTTTCACTGTGGAACACAGCCTACCTGTATTAGTCGAGGAAGAGCCCCTGTTTAGTACCTCCTATTCCACTGCCACTCATACCACCTGCAAAACAGCTACTGGATGCTAGGATGAAGCCACAATTTTCCTTTAAACTCAACTTCTTAGGCAGCACCAGGTCCTGTTTCAAATATATGTCAGCTCCACCAAATCCATGACTCCTGATGACCCAAGGTTCAGATGCACTGGGCTGAGGACCTCCCTGCTTGGCCCAGGGAGACTGCTGCAATTGCTATGCTACTTGCATTAGAATCAAGACTGATGACAGACAGTGTTAGGAGGGACTAGGAAAAATCCTCCCAGCTCCATCTGCTCCAAGATCCACCTAGAGGCCCCTCCCCTTGCACATACATCGTTCTGTCCTGCCATATCTTGGGATAAACATTACTCTTCCCCTATTTACATTCAGCTGACTTCATAAAGTTTAGGAGAAATTAACCAACCTCTGGAGTACTCAGAATCTCTTGACAGATGAAAATGGCCTGATATTTACTAAAAGGCTCTTGGTGGACACTGCTGACAAAATTTGGTGCTCATCTCAGACATGGAGAGCTGTTCTCTCCTCAAACTGCAAAGATTCTTATCTTGTGGCTTTAAAAAATATCATGACTTTTTCTTTTGGAAAAAAAAAAATCACAACATGTCCAGAAAAAGAGCCTTGGTGCATTGTTTTGTGGTAATAATAGAATATTTAAAAAGTATTAAAATTTAGTATAAGAAATACTTCCCATCAGACCAAATAATGTCAGCATTTTTAAATCTTAAGGTTTTTTTTTGCTACAGCTTCTTACTTAAAAAAAAATAATACCCATGGAAAAGTCAAAAGAATATAAGAGTGTTAACACATACATCTATTTACAAATTATTAATATTTTGCAATATTTACTTCATCTCTCTATATATTTTACTCTTCTGAAAAGGGCATCTATTAGATAACTATAGGTGTCATCATTATGGTAATATTTTACATTCATATAAATATCATATAAAATAGACTTCATATTTTAATTTCTCCAGTTGTCCCAAAGTGAACTTTATAGGTCTTATCTTTCTTCCATAATAAAATTAAAGATTATATATTTCATTTGGTTGACAGACCTCTTTCATTCGATTGTTTATTGATATATTTATTTATTTACTCATTTGATATGGGTTTTCACTGTGTTACCCAGGCAAGTTTCAAACTCCTCAGTTCAAGAGATTTTCCCTGCCTCAACCTGCCTAGAGCAGCAAGTGCAGGGGAGGACTTCTCTGAACTCCTTTTATCTGCCTAGATCCTCCAAAAGGAAGTCAGTCGCCATGAGTCCCCTTCCCAGGAATCCTGTTAACCAGAGAAGATTAACCTGAATCAGAGGGGAGGGCCTGGGGTCCATACCACACCCAGGTAGACTGTCACAGATGACCACCTACTCTTCTGTGGGCTGATTCATCTTTCTACACGTCATCTGCTTTCTCTAAACTGCCTGTGTCGCCTCTCCCCTGCCCGCTAGAAAGAGGGGAAATTATTATTTTCTATACTGAAATAAAATTTTCTCAACTGAGGATCATGAGTCATTGTGCCTAGACTGTTGGAGCAAACTACATTATATTGAATACCAATATAATATTTGGGGCCTATGTTATTGGTGCATAGTAGGGAAAGAAGGCCTCTGTGATCAGCTTTCAATAAAATCTCTTGGACACCAAGTCTCTGTGGTCCATTGTCAAAACCATCGCACACATGTTCTTGACCATTAGCTGATGTGGGAGAATAAGCTCTGTGTGTACCCTCCTGGGAAGAAAGGAGCACAGGGAAGTCTGAGCATGGGTACCTCCAGATGCTACCCTAGTGTCTTTCCCTGTGATCTGCTGCTGAACATGCTATGTCACTATGATAAGTCTTAGCCATGAATCTATAAAATCTCCAAAAATGAGAGATTAGGGAGCCCCAACAGAGTGCCATGGGACATTTCGAAGGGCCAGACATGGGAATGTTTTATATTGCCCTTACCCACATCCCCATTTCAGAACTTGGTGATAGGTTCCTGGCTCTCCAGCTGCAAGTGAGGCTGGAGGCCACTTTGGGGCGATGGCCTCCTTCTCAGGAATTCTTCACTTGTATGCCTTCCTCATTCTCTTGCCGTTCTATGGCTTGACTTTTCATTTTCTATAGTACACTTTGACATGAACAATTTAATTAAATTAAACTGAAATGATAAAATCTGTTCTTTATGACTTATGTTCTTGTATCTCTGAAAAAAATTATCCCTCAATGAAAGCTAAAAATATTTCCCTTATTTTTTTCTTGTGAAATTAAAGTTTTCCTTTTCATAATTTAAAAAATGTATCTGAAGTATATTTTCATATGAGAAATGATGTAAACATTCAGGCATAAGAGAGAGGGACATAGGGCTGGGGCTGGGGCTCAATGGCAGAGCGCTTGCCTAGCATGCGTGAGGCACTGGGTTCGATCCTCAGCACCACATAAAAATAAACCAATAAAATAAAGGTATTCTGTCCATCTACAACTACAAAAAAAACTTAAAAAACAAAAAGAGGGAGGGACATAAGTCTAGTGCAGAAAGAAGCCCATGGGGCAGGGAAGATTCCCAGGGGGAAAATAACAATACAGAGGAGAGTGTGACAGGAGCTGACAGCCAGCCAGAGGACAGGTGCATGGAGGATGGAGAGACAGGAAGGCACATGACACAGACCCCTAGAGCTTCCCCCCAGGATGGAGGCAGCCAGGATCAGAGGTCATGGGGGAGGAGACTCAGAGCTGAAGTAGAAGAGCCTATAGGAGGATGAGGAAGACACTGAAGCCCTGGGGTGAGAAGGTGGTGGCCTTGAGACTGGCAAGGCCTTCAACAGGAACCTCCACTAAGATGCATTTTCCTTTTGCAGGTAGAAAGAGAGGGCTGCTGAAGAGAGCAGCAGCAAGCTAAGGGGGCTGGGAGGTCTGAGGTCAGGCTGAGACTGGCAGGGGAGGACCTCAGCACTGAGGGCCTGTTGCCCAGGCTGTGAGGTCCCCAGGCTGGCAAGGGCTCTGTGACTCTTGGGTGATGGGAGCTTCCTGGTCTTCCTATTTATACTTTATGTGCAGAGAGGAGGTGACCCTGTAGCACTGTGTTGTCACTGGTGGCACAGAAGTACACAGCTGTCTGGGAGCGGGTGGCCGACTCCAGAGTGAGGGGGAAGTCTGTTTTGTTTGATCTGGAGACACTGTACCCGTCAGACACGTCTCCTTTGGCAGTGTTGCCAACACCATATGAGTAATGGATCAGCTGCAGCCCTTGCCCTGGGTCTTGGCGATACCAGTACATGTATTCATAGTTGTAGGTCTGGTGGCAGCGCAAAGTCACCTTTTCTCCTGTCTCTGTGATGATGTGTCTTGGGCTCTGGGTGATTTCAGCCTCCAAGTGTCCTATAGTAGAGAAGGACAGAGCCTGACGATGTCACCTCAAGAGAAAGACTTGGATTGAGGCCTTGGAATTCCCGAGAAGGAAGCCCCCATGGCCAGCACTCACCTGCCCACAGGAGACAGCAGGCCACACAGAGGAAAAGCTTGGTGCCCATTTTAGGACCAATGCAGAATCTTGCGGCTTTGAGTCCTATTTAGGGGAAGTAGAAATTGGGCTTCAAGTGAGTCAAATGATGTCACTGTCCCTTACAAATGCATGAGCTGCATAATTAACCTGCCACATCCCTTCCTACAGAAAGAAATCAATTTTTAGTTTTACATATAATTTATGAATATTAATTTAATTCTGTGTTGTACATAATGACCATTTATGGTATATATACACAATTTAACAACTCAGAATAGAAATAATTTGTAGTCTGTTTTAAATGACAAGTCCATATGCTTTTCCTTGATTTTAGTCAGGATATTTGTTCCCCTGGGCACATTTTATTTCCATTATGATACAGCCCCTTTATCTATACATTCTTGGAATAATTCCAAACATTTCTGCAGCCCAAGGAACACTCTCATGCCAGTTCTGGTGCTGCCTGTAGGTTTTCTGCTCAAAAGTCATCTCCAAGTATTCTGAGTTTTTCTCTTTGGCTGAACTCTGGGAGTTGGCCTTAGTCCACAGTGCTATCTTTGGCTACATGAGCCACCAAACCTCTAGAAAGGTTTTAAAGCACCAAGGTAAGGGGGGGGGGTTACAATTTAAGAACTGATTTCTGCTGTTTCACACCAATTCAGTCCTGCCTTCCAGGGTGGTCTACAGGCCTCAGTGTGTCCCTATGGATATGAATTCTCCTTTTGTTTCAGTGACACCATGGACTCTGGATGGCCAATCCCTCTTGAGCATGTTCCATGTCTAAAGAGAAGGCTCATTAGTGATGTGGATGTGATATTTGAAAAGAATTACATGTCTGGTGGCTGCAGGCCACAGGAAAACACTGTCCTCATTCTCAAGATCTTTTATTAACCCAATAGAAGAATATTGGCTTCATCATTTGCTGTCTTACAAAATTTACATCTACTCAATAGTTTGTATATTGTTCTTTCCTATATGGGCCATATTTCCTGGTGAGGCCTCCTCTGTGACTCCACACTATGGTGGGTTCTTGATGGGGACTCTCCACAATCCTGCTCTAGTGAGAAAGGACACAGGACCAGAAAGAGAGAATAAGAGGAGGTCAGTCAGCACCCACAGGGAGGCTGTGGCAGGGGCTGGCCAGCCCAGGAAGGGCTCTCCCATCTGTGTTCAGAGCTCAGCTGGCCCCACAAGCCTCCAACAAAGGACACATGGAATGTCCTGGCACTGAGCATCATTTCCAAAATAAGGCATGGCCTACGAATAATGTTAGTCTTCCAAACAATGCTTGAAATTCCTGGGGGGAGATAAGCATCCACCAGGAATATGTCCTTTTCATTTATTTTTAATTAATTATCAAATCACAAATTTTCTGTTGTTGGAATGTACACTTCATCTGGGAACCATGACTGGACAAACATTCCCTGGCTTAATACTACATGACTTAGAAGTTAACAGGCCATAAACCGTATTAACCACATCCCGTAGTATGAGTTCACACTGCTGCTCGGCTAGTCTACAATGAGGAGACTCTGCTCTGTTACACATGCCTGATCAAGACCAAGGAGCATCATGGGATTTCAGAGGAATTTTTAGTTTTGAAGCATAGATATAGGTTTCTATCCTGGTTCTGACACTTGTAAGCACGAAGTATTGGGAGAGTTAATAAGCTACACATAAAGTGATAAACTGAGATCATTCTTACCTATAAAGTGGTCACTAGTGTCTATCCTTACCAAACTCATCCTAAATGATCACACTCTAGCACAGAGTGGGGGCTCCTTCCACTTGCTATGGATGGGAGGGTGTGGGCTAAGATGTGAGAATATTCAGAGGACCTGACACATAAATGTCAGGAGTACAGTCTGGCTGAGCTCAGCAGGGCAGTCTGAGGGTTGGCAAAGAGCTAGAAGCATCCACAGGACTTGGCTAAATCTATGTGGCAACTCCACCTCCCTTCCCTAGTGCAGCCTCAGCAGGGACAGGAAGGTTAGGGTACAGAAAGCCAGTGGCTCTGCAGGGCTGTGCAAGCTGCTGGCACACAGATACGTGGCTGAGTCCCCCAGCTCCAAGGAGCTCATGTTCAGCTCAGAGTGATAGTCATCAAACTGCTGAGCTGAGAATCGATCAGGGAGGTTTCCTTTGTCCCTCTGCATCTTTTCATAATACTCAACAAGGAACTGAGGCCCCTGACCAGGAGCCTGCTGGTACCAGGACACGCTGGTGTGTCCAGACATGGGATAGCACTTCAGAGTGCCCTTTCCTCCCTTTGCTCTGATTAGGTGTCTCGGGGACAGGATGACTTCAGCATCCACTGAACCTGGGGAGGAAGGAGATAGGAGTGAACACCTAACCCAAGGAGGAGTTTGATCCAAATCAACAAGGAAGGACTGTGGCTCCAGGGGCTGTCCCCTGTGCTCAGGACTCACCTGCTCCCAGGAGACAAAGGACGATGTAGGAGAGGAGCCTGGGTCCCCAGGCAAGGTCAGGAAGGACAGGTCTAAACATCTTTGCACTCAGGGTGCTGGTCTCCTGGGCTGAGAGCAGGCACTTGGCTCCTCCCTTTTCTCTGTTTGGAGGGTTTTTGGTGACATCAGTCATGTCACCGTTCTGATGCCAGTGTGCCTGTGGGTTCAGTAGGCCCCCTGCAGCCCCTGGGTATGCTCAGTTGATGCAGTCCTTTCCCCTCTGTGGTGATTTTGTGTAGCAGGGGCAGCTGGCTGTGCTGAGCAGGGCAGGTCAGGGTGTGGGGTGGAAGTCCATGCCCACAGGTCTCTAACTTTCCTGTGATTCAGGGGCTTCTCTCTCTCCACCTGGATGGTGGCGTGAGCTGCCCCCTGGAGCCCCATCACACCCCTTGTCAAATGCAGGCTCCCAGAGAAGCCTTGATTCACCAAGGTGCAGTTCATGGCTTCCTACCATGAGTGATTCACATGCACATCATGAGATATGTGGAGACCATGACTCATCCTTCCTGTCTGGCTCCTCAGGTGTTATCCCTCATGCAGGCCCCCAGCCAAGACCCTTGAGCCATCCCTCTTCCAGAAGCACTGGCTGCAGCTCACTCAGTGGACCCACAGTGCCCTCTAGTGGCCACTGTGCAGTTTCTAGGATGTAACAGTAGGGAGGCTGGCTGGGGAGATACGGCTTTCTAAATGAGGCCTCAGGAACTGCAGGGTACAGCAGAGAACCCACAGATTTGATTAACTTGCTGTAGACTCAGCTGTCACCTAGGAGTGAGGGAGGCAAGAAGCAAGCTCCTTCATTTTTCTGAGAAAGGGAGTAAATTTAATTGGTAAATATTTAAATTTTACCAAGTAATCTTGTAGGAAAGGAGATGCCTGCCAATCATTAGAGGCCAGCTGCCTGGGAATAGAACAGGATCCGGGAAAACCAAGGCATCTCCTAGAGGGTGATCGTGGTCTTCTATCTTCAATGAGCCTCTAAGCAGCTGGGACATAAACCACCTAGTCCCAGGAACAGGAACATGCCTCCCTACACATCTTCTTTCTTTTGAATACTCTCTTCCAAACTCTTTTACTCTCTCTGTTTTTTTATCTTCAGATTGAATTGTTAGTCTTCTTTATGATTGATTTGTAGGAATTCTTTGCATTATAAGTATATATGAAAGTAAATCAGTAAGTATTATATATGTATGTATACGTCTTTGACGTACTTAGTGATCTCTTTTCAAGAACTTTTATCAAAAAATTGATAAGAAGCAGTTTAATCTTTTAGGGACAGGATATTTTTGTCTCTTTATTGAATCTGCATCCTCCCCAGGATCATAGAGAGTTTGCTAGGATTTCTTTCAGGAGATTTATAGTTGAATTTTTAGATCATCAAGAACTTTGAAACATCTCACTGTAAATTTTGCTTACGATGAGGGTCAGCAGACTTTTTCTGTAAAGCGTTCTACACATCACGTAGTGTGTCCTGACTGCTCCACTTTGTCATTGTAATACAAAAGCCGTCAAAAATGTAAACACCATGGAAAACAAGCACAGGTGGAAGTTGGTTCTTGGGTAATAGTTTGCCATGTCTGTCTTATGGAATAAGATTGTGATTAATTAATTTTCATTTTATTATACAGGTTTTCCTGTACCATTTTTTAAAAAATCCTATTTATCTTTTTTTTCTACTTTCTAGTGTATAATATGTATCTCTGATGTACTGCAATTTATCTACAAAATATTTCATTTAGCTAAAAGTTTTCCTTAAATGCACTTTATTACAGGAAGGAAGTTTTGTATGACTAGAATCTGCTAATATTTTTTTTTTATCAGAAGTGGACATTGAATTCTGTTCAATGTTTTATATACATCTATGGTTTCTTTTGTTAAGTTAAATGATAAACATTTGCATTAAAGTTAAAATCCACTGTGTCATGATATATTATTCTTTTTAAATACTGTTGGATTCACATGCTGTCATCTTAAAGGGACCACTGAATCTGTGCTCATGAGGGAGAGTCATCTGTAGTTTTTCTTTATCATAACATCTCTGACTTTGATACCAGATTATCACTGGCCTCACAATGAACAGAATATCATTGGCTGTTCCTCAGTTTCCCCCAATTATTACTTTAGTGACATCCCACCAAATTTGATATATTGTAGCTTTATTTTTGTTCAGGTTATAACTCAAATTTTGACATTTTTCGAATTTTTACAAAGATATTTGGGATATTGTTCTCTAATTCAGTTCCACTGTGGTCAGATCACATCCTTGGTATGACTTGAGCATTTCTAAATATGTTGATGTGCATCTAACAGTTCAGAGTTTATAGTCCATAATCATAGTTGCATCTAACTGAAGATTATAACTATGCAAAGGAGGAAAAGAGAATCCCGTTTTGAGTTCTGTTGCTATTGATTAGGTATTCTGTAAATGTCAGTGAGTGAAGTTGGTTGACAGTTGTTCATGTCTTCTCTATACTAACTGATGTTTTGTTTTTCTCTCCACTTGTTGAAACAATCACTAAAAGAAATTTCACCAAAACCTCTAACATGGATTTGTCTGTTCTTCTTGCAGTTGTTTTTGCTTAGTATTTTGAAGCTCTGCTATGAGATATATACTTATTTATGACTGCTCTGACTTTTTGAAAGATTGTTCCTTTTATTATTGGCATACGACCTTCTTTATTCCAGATGATATACCCTGCTCTGAAATTTAGTTTGCTATTAATATACTGAATTTAGCTTTCCTATGCTTAATATTAACATGGTTCATCTTTTTACTTTTTACATTCTAGTTCTTTATATTTATAGGACACACACACAAACACACACACATAAAGCCTTTCTGATAGAAGAAATATCTTTTTTTAAATTTTTTTTTTGTTCAACAATATAGTCTGTGCTCTGTAGTTGGGGCACTGAGACTAGATTTAATGTGATTGTTGGTCTGGTTACATGAGTATCTGTCATCTTGTATTTGGTTTCTATTGGCCCCATCTGTTCTTTGTTCCTTTTTAAAATACTATCCTCTGAATTCATTGAGCACTTTTATAATCCCTTCTTTTTGTGTTAGCTCATTAGCTAAAACTCTGAGCCTTGTTATTTTAATGGTTACTTTAGGGTTTGTAAGCAAAAATAACCAACATGATTTCTTCACCATTATAAAAACACGAAGCCCACTTCAACAGGGTCAGCAAGCTTTCCTTTATTCGGCAGCAGAGTCAGTCAGTGGGGGGCGCACTTTCCGGGTAGAAAATGGCTGCCAGTTACAGGAGGAGTCTGAGTTTTATAGGTCAGGTGAGTTAATCATTGGAGACTCAAGCAAAATGTGTTGGTTTGGGCAGTCAGGAAAAAAGTTGTAAAAATTCCAAAACTCACTGTTACTCATTGTTTTTATAATGGTGCAGAAACCATGTTGGTTATTTTTGCTTACAAACCCTAAAGGGATGAAATCTCAGAACTTGGCTGGAGTTTTGTTTATCTTCTTCCTTTGGGACCCATTGTTACCCAGAGTTTCACTACTTTTCTCTTTCCAGGACCCAGTATCCACCTCCTCCCTTCAGGACCCATTGTGGTTGGGAAGGGATGAATGTTTTTGGTGGAGACTGGAGATGAACCCAGGAAAGGATGAAAGTTTGCTTTTTCCTTCAGGGCCCATTGTTACTGGGAATGGATTCACTGGGAAAGGATTAATGATTGCCTTTATCCTTCTGTTTCTCTGGTCAGACAGTTTTGGGGGTTGCCATTTCTCTGTCCTGAGGGTTGTCATCTTCCGTATCCTTCAGTGTTTGCAGTAAAAGTCTCCATTTTAACATAGCCTATCCTCAAGTAACCTCACAGAGATTGGGAAAGCTTTACAATCTTATAATATTTATTTATTTATCTATCTTTTATATTTATATTAGTGTTTCAATAGATTTAATTTCACATACATTATAAATCCTGAGAGATGTTAAAATTATTTTGGTAGATAGTCAATTATCCCATAAAGAAATTTAGATTAAAAAAAATACTCTTAGTGTCCCCAATTACATGTTAGGCTACTTAAGTTAAATTCCCAGCTCACTTAAGACCTTTTTCTTATGTTTCATTATGGATTTTATATTGATTTATCTTCAAATTCACTTACTTCCTTCTTTCATGCCTAATCGGCTGTCCGTCAAGAATTTTTTTTCATTACAGATCTTGGAATTTTTACTTCTAGAAGTTTGATTCGGATGTTTTTGTATTTTCTCATCTCCACAAAACTTTGACCATTGGGCTACATTTCTACACTGTGTTTGCATCTTCTCCTGGCATTCGTCACTGCTGGCTTGTTCAATTCCCCCCCCCCCTCATTGGGGATCATGTTTTCCTCCTTCTTTGCCTGCCTGGCTGTCCTCTTTGATGAGATGCCCAATATTGTGCATTTTACAGTTCTGAGTGCTGGCTATCTTAGTGTTCTTGCTAATATTCTTAGCTTTGTCCTGTGATGCATTTAAGTCCATTAAAATCAAAAAGCCCAAACTTCCTGACAGGCATCTGCTTTTCCTGAAGACTTTGGCAATAGGATCCTAAAATAAGCATGAAAAACAAAAAGAAACAACAGGGTCAAGTTTAAGGAATTAGATACAAGATGCCAAGAACTGTCATAAACCAGTATATAAGACAGTGTGTTGATAGAACAAGAAGTGACAAAAAGACCAGTTGAAGAGGCAGAGGCCCTGAAAACAGACCCACACATACACAATGAAAGGCTTATGATGAATGTAGTACTATGGAGTATTCCACCCATTCTAACATGCTTCTGCTGGGGTGTAAATTTCTAAAAATTACTATGGAAACCTCAAAGAATCCTGCTTGGTGGATATAAATTTGTTAGGGTTTTGATCACTTCCCTTTAACACCTTCTCAAGTGAGGTTGTATTGTATGCAATCAAGCTAGCAGTGAGTTTCTAAAAGGAAATTAGACTGGAGAAGAAGAAAATTAAACTCTGAATGACTGGATTGTCAAAAGAAATTACAAAGCAGCGTGAGGACATGGGTTAATGTGCATGACTATGGGGGCAGGGGCTTCTGAATAATTGATGATGGCAATTCTTACTGAGGATTCCAGTTTGTTTTTTAAGGCTGGTTCTGCCAGTGCCTTACCATGGCTTTGTTCTGCTGGTTCCCTCCTTGGTATAGCAAGGTCTGAGTTAGACATTCAGCATAAGAGGTGATCATAAATGTACTAAAAATTTGTGGTTGTCACTATCCCTGAAACCAAGCTCCAGTATTCAAAGCCAATGGTTGAATCTTGTCTAAAGCTGAAGAACACCAGAAAGTATTCACCAG